TTTGTTATTATTTTTAGCAGATTCCCACACACACACACACAATACTCGTAACTCAGAGTTTGGCTGGCTTAAATAGCCAACGGCCCTTGTGCAGGTAATTGAGCCTTAACATGCTCAAAGCTTATTAATACATGTAAAAGGGCATTATGTGTGTATGTGTACGTGTGTGCGTGTGTGTGCGTGTGTATCTGTATAAACTTTATGGAGCTTTGCTTTGTTTGGCTTGCGTTTATTTTTGTTCAATGCTGTCGTTGGTCTTCTGCCCAGTTGAGTTTATTTATGTGACATAATTATCCCACTAGACGCAGGCTCTGACAATATAAATCCTCTTGATAATCGTTCGGCTCGGGGGCTGACAGGGTATAGAGCTGTTGGGCTATCTCTTTAATCATATTTGTTTTTAAAACATGCTCCCCTTATTTACCATCAATTTCATGGAATATATTGTGTTCGTACGAAATATGATATCTTACTTTTCCTATTAATGTTCTTTTGCTAGAATTTGTTGTGCAATCATTCCTGGATTTAATTAAAATCCATCGTAATTGAATACATGTATTTATGATTAAAATGTTGCATAAGCTTTATGTTTTTTCTCTTTAATATTATTTAATAATCGGTTCTGGTCGAGTGCATTGTGCGTAACTCAACAATTTCGTTGTTATGGCTTATGCTAAGCTCTCGGATCTTTAAGATTTATTGACATCGAGCGGCAATGGGCACGCACACACACAAAGCATTTACACGCACAGGCTGGTACGTGCATAGGTGTATAGTCTCTGCGGTGCGCTACCTTTTTGTTTTTACGCGCAATTAACCCAGTTACAAGTTCGACATGCCGCAAGGCAAACCCAGCGACTCACACACACAAACACACAGACACATCCTGCATTTATCATAATTACTTCCCAGAATTTTTGTGCACAGCCCTGCCGAAATAATGCTAAAAAACTTGATGAATGCTCGAACCGCAGCATTTGCTCGCACACCCTCACAAACACACACACACAGATACCCTCCCTTGAAAAGGCGATAATTTAAAAAAAAAAAGGGCGAAAAAACGCGTTGACTGCTTAATGTTTTAATATGCCTTCAGCAACTATTAAGAGGAGTCCGCATTAAGTGCCGGGGCACATATAAAGCATCAATTATTTATAAATAAAAGCGCAGCCCACTTACGCACAAAGTATTTTATAGCATACTTCTGAGCGCCACGCCACAAAGGCGTCAAGGCAACAACAACAACAGCAACAACAACAACCACATTGGCCCATTCACAATTCCGCTTGCAAATTTATATAAAATGCAAAAAATAACTCGGAGAATTGCAGTTTGGCGTCACGAGCAGCAAACAATGCGATAAGCAGGCAAAATAAATAAAACAACGACAGATAAAATGTGCCCACAACATTCATGACGACAGTCCAATGCAAATGCTGGTTTAAACAAAAATAAAATAATTAAGTAGGAATGTTGCGACCGGCTGTAAACGACTGCATGATGCCCGCTAACTTTATTTAAGGGAAAGGGAGATATATATGTATATGGTATATAATATTTGTATATCTGTTGTCGATCGATTTTAAGAGCAGCTCATCTTCACGCCCAATTTGCTTAGTCTAAATCTAATACTGTGGAAGATATAGATTTTCTCGATTTAACACGCCTCCGGTGGGCGCAATTATATAATCGTCTTGAGTGAATTTTCGAAAAGATGAAGAAACGGATATACGAACAGCAGAACGAAGTTTGTGCAAACCTAATATACTCTTTTCACATTGTGAACGCGTATAAACGGTCGAGTAAAAAGTTGGCTTAGGCACAACGAAAATTTAATACCCTTGTTGACAAATAGAGAACGTTCGATATCTCATTAACTGAACAACGAAGATTTAATACCCTTGTCGACAAGTAGAAAATGTTCAATATATATTTAAATTAAACCTTAAAATCTCAGAGTTGTTTGATGACTTTGCCAATATGCTCTCTAGAAAACAAAGCAGAGTCTGGACAGGTTCTACTTTATCTTTTAAAAAAGCGAACTAGCCAACAACGTCTTTCGTATCGAACTAATAAAAAGATATAGTAAGGAAAACGTGTTTCAAATTAAAGTTTTTGTATGACATATATTTGCTCTTGAAATCTTAATGATAATGTAGTCCGGTTTGGCATATGCAAATAATTTCATCAGGATAACCTCCTAACTCAGCGACTAGTTTGGTTGTAAAATAAAAAAAATAAACTTTCTGTGATCCTTCTATGCGAAACACATCGTTAGCCACAATTTGAATACCCGTCGTAAGGGAACTGAAGTAAGGAAGTATGCATAAATATGAGTGCTATGTACGTTTATAAATATGTTTACGTATGTATTTATGTTTGTACAACAGTTACTTTTCAAATCAAATAAAACCAGGCGACCATTGACAATGACAATAACAAAACGAACATACAAAAAATGAAATGCACAGTGGTGCCAAGACTTATTGCTCAGTGATGAAAATAATTGGCCTGGCTAAGCTGTCGATTATCGGTCGTTGCGCATCACTGATGCTCTTTAAAAGTTATCGATTGGCATTGCCTTAATTGATAGCTTTGTCAAACGTGTTTTATTTTTTGCGACACTGTGCGATTGCCGCCTGGCACAAACCCGAGTAACAAATTCCAAAAATGTCACATTGCGCACATGAAAAATGTCCTTGGGACAGCGCCAAACGTCAGGCGACGCCAGCCATCAGTGTGTATGTGTCTGTGCGAGTGTGCGAGTGTGTGTGTGCTCATTGTTGTTGGCTTTGCAAAGCAAGGTCATGAGTAAATACGCTGGAGCCTGGCTGTTTATTCTACAACAAAGCCCTGCCAAGCACAAAAAAACCCTCACACACACACACGCTCGCAATTTATTGTCAAATATACAAATGAATTCACATATATATATGTATAGTAAATCGTACGTATATACATATATCTAGCTTGATGCTCCTTATTGATACAAATGTACATATGAATTTATAAAATATCTACACACACACATGTACATACAGACATATGGAGCATTTGCTTGCCAATTTGCAGTGGAAACACATGCAAATGTGTATCCGTTTATCAAAAAGGACATTATTGGCTGCTTGTTAGAGCTAAGCACTATAGCTAGCCATTATGCATGGATACATATATCCGCCCCGAGGGGCAGCAAAATATTTAATCATAGATGTGTGAACAAGCTGTTATTGTTAAACAGGCCCAATTTACGAGTTAATAGTTTCATCAATTTGCTGCGATTTTAAACGGAGAACGCTTTTAATATAAATATTTATTGATTGGTTGGTTGGGCACATTTCGACTCGAATAGAGAGGGAGGCTTTGTTAATGAGCATTTGCTGGAATCTCTTTTTTTTTTATTTGTTCAAAATTATCCATTATGATTGGGCATAAATTATAATTTGAAATTGATCTAACACAATGTTTGTAAAAACTGTTCGTTTGGTTCAACAAGATGGAAAATCATTTAAATCGACATCTTTTAAAACGGAGCTCGAGCCAGCTAATTAACTATTTTTAAAACTTTAACTGAAGTAACAAACGTTAAGAAAAGGTAGAAATTTCAGAAGGAATAATATTGATATATACAAAAATGGTCTATTAACAGATACGATCATTTAAATGTTTAGAATATTCTCAACAATTTTTTACGTTTGGAATATAAATTGAAATTAGTTTATTTTTTAATAGTTAAGCGACTTTAAAGTCTTTCTCTTCTGGACTATTTAGTTAAGTTTATAATATTAACTAGCCTTATAGTTGTCCCTATTTAAAGTCTTGTTTTTCTGGATTATTATCGTTGATCTAGCCAGATTAAGAATCGTCAAGTGTCCGACGTAGCCAGAGTGTATTTAAATAAGATCAAATGATGAACATTTTAATCGCTTAATACCTAAATGCCTTTATATCAAGGCATTCTTTTTTTAGTTTCAATCCTAAAACTCATTTTGTGACATCATCAAATGTTAGTTGGTTTATCAATGAAATATGGGTCAAATAATTTTATAATTATTGAACTTTTATTATAACAATTATTATTATCATTTTTATCATTGTTATATTACTATGATTATTATTCTCATTATCATTATTATTATTATCATTATTATTACTATGATTATTATTATCATTATTATTACAATGATTATTATTTTCATTATTATCATTATTATTATTATTACTATGATTATTATTATCATTATTATTATCATTATTATTCTTGTTATTATTATTATTATCATTTTTATTACTATTATTATTATTATTATTATCATTATCATTAGCATTATTATTGATTTTGTTATTGTTGTTTTAAACTAATTTCTAAATAGTTTACTCATGAACTCTTTCAATGTACATTTTAAGTATATATTGCATTTTCTATTACACACTAGATAAACTCATATTAAGCATACCAACAATGTCAATGTAAATGCTGGACTCATCGGCTAAGTGAGTGCCAAAGTGAGCATCGCAATTTTGGTCTATGAATTAATGAGCATCGCTTTCCGTTGCTATCATTTGGGAGACGAGTGCCAGGAGTGCCAGGGTGGGGCGGACTTGAGTTGTTTGGCCCAAAGTTAGCATATGCACATGAATAATGGAGAGCCTAGTTTGTAGGTTCTCTCCTATTGATATCGAAACAAAGGATGGCAACCAACAAATGGGCCATAGTTTTCCGTGTGCATGTGTGAGTGTGTGCGCGCGCGAGTTGTTTGTGTGTGTGAGAACATATGACTCTGGAGATTAAGCCATTGTTTGTAATGGGAACCGCAGCTAGGCGCGTGGCTGAGCTGCGGTTTAACGGCTGCGTTTGCAATGAGCGAATGCAAACAAAAAGCTGTTGTCGGACTGGAACGGGGACAGGGGGATGTTAGCCTATTTTCACTTGTTTAACTAACAACTAACTGTGCCATTCTCTCTCTCTCTTTCTGTGTGTCTGCATCTGCATCTGCTGTCAGCACCAGCCCCAACAGTGTAATGCGCCTTGGGGGTAGTGGTATACCATACGACGGTGACCCCCTGACAATGAGCGCAGCTGGCAATGATTATGCCGAATTATGCGATCTTGGACCATCACGTTGGAGTGCACGCGGTTATGGTTACCATGCAACACAAGCAGCAGCGAATGCGGCCGGCATCGGCATTGGTGGCATTGGCGCCACACAATCATCATCGAGCGTACCGACGGGCGGCTCAGCTGGGCTCAGCGCACATCATTTACGGAGCAGCGCAGCAGCGCCAAACAGTTACGAGGCCGAGGACATTGGCCTGGCCTTTGGCATGATCAGTCCGCCACCTGGCAGCGGGCACGTTCATTACGGCGGCAGCGCCGGCGGCATTGGCTCCCGTGTGGGCAATAGCACCAGTTCGCTGCGTGCCGGCGGCACCGGTCGCTCCGGTCTCTATTATTCGCCACCGGGCACATCGTACACAATCGTTGAGCGTCCACACTCGCCGCATTACTATTACAATTCGGCTGGTGTGCCCACGAAGGGTGGTTCGTTGCCTGGTCGCGGCTCGGCGTATCTCAGCTCCTCGCCATCTAGCCACATGGCCGCCGGCACGGCCGGCACGCTGCCCACATCAACGGCAGCCAGCGGTCGCCATGCCGCCTCGGCCATGGGCAATGGCAACAAAAAGCGGGCCATATCGCCGGAGCAGGTGCTGCGCATGTTCGGCGCCACACAGTCGTCTTCAGTTCCTACGAGTAGCTATCACTACAGCAACGGCGGCACCCGCGATCGCGATCGCACAGGGCGACGCAGTCCGGCCAGCAGCCCGCCCTCGACAACGCATCAGGTAAATCCAAGCAATTCTATTTTCACAGCAGCTAGATGATTAACCTTTAATTTTTATACAGATCTATCGGGATCGCGATCGAGATCGGGATCGGAGTGTGCCCAACATACATGAACTTACGACGCGCACCGTTTCAATGTCGCGTGATCAGCAAGTCGATCACGGCTTCGGTATATGCGTCAAAGGAGGCAAAGACTCAGGTAAGTTCAAGGGGGCAAAAAAGTGCGATTAGGTGTATAAATCAGTCCAAATATTTCGAATCTATATATATGCTTGAAGAACAAAGAAACGGTCTGTTGAATGTTGCCTTAAAACTGACTGAAGAATGTTGGCGACTTTAGTTGTAAGACTTTAAGGAATGTAAACTGAAAAAATAGATGGAAATTACCATCGATAAACAATTTCCAAGAAATAATTTTTTAGATGCCAAAAGTACAAACTCTATTAAAATGTTTGCCTACCATTTTTTAACATAAGGGAAATATTAAATTATTTTTCTAAGAATTATGGTTAGAGGTTAAAGAGCGATTCTTTTTAAAGCTCATAGGTTTTTTGTGAGGCTTATTCTGTGTCAAAAAGAATTTATCTTTAAAGAACACTGAACAAAACACAAAATACCTCAATCGAAAAATTATGTAAAAGCTGTAAAAAGGCTTTAAGAGCTTAGGGCTTTACAGGGTATAGATTTATTTTAAAATTTTAGAGGCTTCCAAATTCATTTTGGCTATAAAGAGTAGCCCACGGTCAGACGAGCATTGGGCAAAACCAATCTACGTTTTAAATCCATGGCCAAGAGAGTACAAAGAGGCCAAATAATAGGTGGCTAGCCCTGGGTATCCTTGTCAGGCTCAAGAGCACAAGACTTTGCAGTTTTCCAAGCTGCCTGCCATTGGATTATATTTAGAGCGAAAAGCATATGTGAGTGTAGCTTGCCAGAGGATGTTTGTAGAAGGGGCCATGGAACTCCTTGACGTTTGTAGTTGATGCGATGTTACGCCCAGTCGATTCGAGGCTCAATTGCTTGTCTCTCACGTGTGTGGCGATGTGTGGCACCTCAATTTGGCCGGAATTTAGAGAGCATTTCATGCAATTTAATTTTCAATTCGATTCCATTGTCTGTCGGTTTGTTGTACATTCGTTTTACTGCTACAAAACGCCAACAGCTTTGACATTTCCAAGCGCATTTTGCACCTGTCCGTGACTCTCTGCCTGCATGCCCCCATGCCCGCCGCACGCTCCTCCATTCACTGTCGGGCATTTTATTTTTAACTTTCAACGTGCGACCGCTTTAAAATCGATAAAAAAAAATCTATTTAAGTCGCCCAGCCGCGTATACGGGGTCGTTTCATCTATCAATTTATCGTCCCCATTGACTCACACAATGTGAGCTGCTTTTGCTCGCTTTTCGGCACATATGGCTGCACACGCACACGCACACACACATACACCCAAATAGAATCCCGCTTAATGAAAAAGGCTTACAAAAAACAGACGCAAAAATTAAGTTAAAAAGCTTTAGTCGAGAGTACTTGGATACCCTGTATTTAATTATTTTGCTTCTTCAACGCCTCAGCGCCACACTATGGAAATTTCATGCTTGAATCAAATCGGAGCTCATTGTCCGATCGTTTTAAGCTTCTAAGCGCAAAAAGAAAACATTTAAGTATGTGTTCATATTTACTGGGGAATCGGAGAATGATATACTTAAGGTGAAATATTATTCGTATGTTCAGCTTTTGTAGGCTACGAAGCACCGGGGCAAAAAGTTGATACTTATCAATTTCAGACACCTGGCTGAGCTATCGACTTTTTAACAAACTTGATGCTAGGTTAAGAATACATTTAAGTTGAATATTCGGACTGATAAGAGGACGAAGTCGGTAGCTCGAGTCAGTTATTGATGCTGATCAAGAATATACATATATACGGCACGTTTTGTAATACCCTACCCATTTGTAATGGATACAGGGTATCATAATGGGCCTAGCCGTGGGCGGTGCAGGGCATGGTGTGGTGTGTCTTTTAATAAAAGTTTAATGCGCACCGCTTGCTAATTGATTTTTTTTTGTTTTTTGTTGTTTTTTTTTTGTGTGTTTTATCGACAGGCTTAGGTGTTTACATCTCACGCATCGAGGAGAATTCGGTGGCGGAGCGCGCCGGCCTGCGACCCGGTGATACAATCCTAGAGGTGAACGGCACGCCATTCACCTCAATCAATCACGAGGAGGCGCTTAAGGTGAGCAGACTGCAAATGATTTTCTACAAAACTATTTTTCAATATGTACTTTCAGTAGCTAATGTTGTTATCTAGCGCAAAATCGATTAGAGCACATTATGAGAGAGCAGCAGCGTCTTAGACACGTTGCTTAAAGAGAATAAAACCTCATAGTTTCTTTAAATAAAGAAACTATTATGCTTTATATATACTTCTAAGCGGCTGCTTAAAATGCTAGGAAGTCAAAGTTGAACTTTTCGAGAGTTCGCTGTATTTTTCATACATGTTTTATATATGTATATTAAGTGACTATAAGAAAGGATGATTAACACGACAAGGCATGTCCTTCAGCCTGTGCTTAGACAACGACAAAATCTTCCTTTCAAAAAGATAATTTAATTGTACACTTTATTGATTTTTAATGTGATTTCGCTCGATAGGCTGCTTGTCTGCCTGCTAATAGTTGCGATAAGGGGCAATGCATTTGAGTAGCAGTAGGCCATCGTCTTTTATGTGCGCCACTTGTCAAAGTACCTAAATCGCAGCCCATCAGCCCGCCTTAGACCCACCACCAGGACGACAAACCCTGGCACTTATAACCCGAACGACGCCCAAGTTAGACAGCTGCGCTGCCAACGCTGCTGACAACGAAAGTCAATTTATTGTGGAATATTTTATGTGACACGTTATGATAGTCAATATAATTCTTCATATTCCAGCAGTAGCTGGTGCCACTATGCGTGCTCCTAACAAAGTACATTAGACCAGGAGCAGGAGGCTAGAACAGTCGGGGACTCGGGAACTCGGGGCCTGGCACGTGTTGTGCCATTTCCCACGCTGCTTTTCAATTTTAACTTTATTTTTTCGACAAATTTGTTTGCCAATAGTCGTGAAATAACTGGTACTTGGTCTAGTGTTGTATATGTAGTTCCCCTCTCTCTCTCTCTCTCTCTCTCTCTCTCTCTCTCTGCCTCTCTCTGCTGAGCTCGTTCTATGCTCTAAACGATTTTTTGTAGTTTTTGTCTAATATCTTGCACTTTACATATAATGAAACTTGAAACATTTTGTACAAATATTACTAAACGAAAAACGAAATACACATCATTGAAAAAAAACACTAATACAAATATACACTGAGAAAAAATTGGCAATAGATTAGTCGCATTGAATTCACATTGTAAATTAATTTACTTAAATAGACGACATTCATTTGATTTATTTTTAACTATTTCTAGAATTGTGTTTTTATTTTCAATATGCTTTTTATTTATTACGAATTTGTTTAATCTGCCTTAAACACATAATAAGCACCATCAATTCTTACAGTGTACTGCAATTTGGGCTATATTTATATGAACTTCAACTTTTAAAGTATTTAATTAAAATTCTTAGTTTTGGGCATTTATATTTTAATTGGCAAAGATAAAGTTAGTTTGGCTTGAAGGAAACTAATTCTAAGAGATCTTGTAGATCTTCCTGTTTAGTTATTACATTAGAGACCTTCCGTAACTTCCAGTTACAAATTTCACTTTAGCCATAAACTGCAAACTCAAGCCATATTATAAAGCTTACTTATATTTAATAGTCTCAAAGGATCAATAAAAGTTACCAAAGGGCTTCAACAGCTTCACCCAAAAACACATCTGTTTCGGGAACTAACAATTTGTCCAAATGCCCAACCACAATAGCCATAAAACTCAATGTGGTAAATTTTTGGGATTATTTGAAAACAAAAATGACATTCGCACTTTTGTCCCAAACAATTAGCGCAACTCAACTCGTACGGGTTTTTGTGGCGAAACAATTAAAATTGTAACAGCCAAAACGAGAGGAAATGGTACAGTAAAACCACAATAAAGCACACAATAGAACAGCAAAATGTCCGCCCCGTTTTCTCGCCTTGAATTAACATTTTGTTGAATATGAAATTTGTTTTTGTTTTTAGTTTTTTGAAATTTTAAATCTTTTTGCCACCCGATTTTGGTTCGACAATTTTCTTCTCTCTTTGCTCCTTTCTATCGTTCGTTCGTTTTGCTTGCATCTTCCGTCTCTCTTTTGTGTCTCTTCTATTGCCACATTTTTTCTTAACGCAGAGATGTGTGCAGATATTGAAATCGTCACGTCAAATCAGTATGACGGTGCGAGCGCCGCCCACGCTGAACTCGACGGCACCGCTGCACGGTTTTGGTCCACCCTCGCGGGATCCAATGTACGCGTCGATGGCCCCCCTATTACCACAGACTGCAGCGGCCCATGCGGCAGCGGCCGGCGGCGGCGGCGGCGGATCGGGTCTGCCCTTTCGTCAGACCTGCTCCTGGATGGATCGACACGGCCGTCCGGCCTCGCCGCCCATGGAGTATGGCGGCAGGCGGAACGAGCGCCGAGATCGGTAAGTGGATTACACAGATATTATATAGAAAATGTATATGTATATAGCATGTGCTAATCGGCATCCGTTTAGGGTACGCCGCGTCGAGCTGCTCATTGAGCCCGGCCAATCGCTGGGCCTGATGATACGCGGCGGCGTCGAGTACGGCCTGGGCATCTTTGTCACGGGCGTCGACAAGGATAGCGTCGCAGATCGTGCCGGTCTAATGATTGGCGACGAAATACTGGAGGTCAACGGCCAGTCGTTTCTCGATGTGACGCACGACGAGGCCGTTGGTCAGCTGAAATATCACAAGCGCATGTCCTTGGTGATACGTGACGTGGGCAAGGTGCCGCATTCCTGCACATCCATCGAAATGGAGCCCTGGGATGCGTACAGTCCAACGGGCACGAGGTAAGCACAAAGCCAAAGCAATCAGCAATCGAACCGGTTCGAAGCCTTAGAACTCCTATTCATTGCTTACTATGGACCTCAAGCGAACCTTTTAAAAGCAGGTTGCTTGTGCGAATCATAAACCAAACAAGCAACAAATTTTCCTGAGTTTGCCATCCTGTTAGGAAAAACTGATCTATTTATATATGTAATAATACTCGATCGATCTGTGTGTCGCTTTCAGAGCACGCCGAAAAGGTCAAATCACGACCATGGTGGAGGAGAAGGCGCGCTCGCTGCTGCCACGTCATCATTTTGCAAGTCTTTCGTATTATATTGCCGAATATAGTGTGAAAGCAATGACCATAGATGCCTTTGTTGCCGTCTTATTAGAGATGTTAGATACGTACGAAAAGGTAAATACTACATCAAGATGCCAAAACCCAAAGGATCGCATCTATGTTCATGTTTCCCTTTGCAGCACACGCTAGTGACGGAAATTCGTGAGCTCGTTTTTCCGGAGGATCGTACACGTTACGATGAGCTTGTGTATCGCAGAGAACGCGATCCATATAGCGTGGATAGGCATAGGGTAAGAATGGCTAACATAAGCCGCAACTAGACTCCATTTTAGCAAGCGTTTAATGCAAATTCCCCACTTGAATCTTTGCAGCGTAAAGGAGACCCCGCACGTGATTTGCCGGTAAGCTTTTTAGAAGATTTATTCTACGACACTGACACAATATATACCTAGCAAGTTCTGTGTACAACTAACTGCGCATGTTAAACTTTTGTACGACAAAACATAAAACAAAACCAACTTAAATATTCGTCTAGTGTTTAGCAAACAACTTAAATACTCTTTTCAAAAATATATACACCCATATGTGTGGTGTATCTACGAATCTGTCCAGCTACTGTGTTTCGGAAAATTGATTTTGTTTACACATTATTGTTGTTGTTAACTGTTGTCCTTGTTGTTGTTGTTGTAATTTTTAGTTAAATTTTACTTACTTTCGATAAACAAAATACTAATAAAAGTACTCAATACACAGCAAAATACAAAACACTTGTCGGATAAAGCAAAAACTTGTAGTTTAATTGTTCTTCGAGTAGGAAAATGTATAATTGTCTTTAACTTTCCTTTTTTTTTATTATTCTACTATTGTTTATGCTTTATAGTTTATGGTTTTGTGTTTGCTGCATGTTTCCCAATTTGAAACGCTTTTTGAAACTCGCTTTCTTTGATTCGGCTTCAGATTTTGTTTGGCTTGCAAACAAAAATCGAACCAAAACGAATGTCAATTTTTACTTTACAAAATGCAAGAAAAGAAACAAGAAAAAAATTCAAATAATTAACCAAAAAGCAATTAAATCAACAAATTGAACAATGCAGTTTTTGTAGTTGCACAAATTCTTTTTTCTTCTAGGCATAAGTAGCAAGTACAGTTGCTTCAGATGAAGCTACAGCTGTGCATTGCTCAAATTATCGATAGTGCAAGACTTCGATAAGCATCGATATTGCGCGACAAACCATACATTGGTTTAGGTTTAGATATCTAAGCAACATGATTAATTGTAAAATATGAAATTCAAACATGTATAATCGGATATAAGTACATATACAAATTAGATATATATATATGAAGTAATATTAGCCACACAAAAGCGCACTTAAAGCATAATAACAAACAGCAGTCACCGATAAATCACCCAAAACTCTGCTTAATACATAACATGGCACCGATTGAAAGCAAAGCTTTAAAAAACAATATATATATACATGTTAATATATATATGTTCGAAATGAACTATAGTTCGTGAAGAACTTATGCACTGATCACCAAATGATATCACTTTACTCTCTCTCTCTCTCTCTCTGCGATCCTCTCTGTCGCACATTCTGTCTGCGCTGTCTATGCTCAGTAGATGGCTCTGTAAATCTGTTCAGGCCTAGCCCGTAGACCCTGTTTCATATTTCGCTCTGTCTAGCCCTCTCTGTCTCTCTCTCTCTGTCACGCTCTCACTGTCTCACTCTCACACTCACTCTCTCTCTCTGTCTGTCTCTGAATCGTATGCAAAAAAACGTTCGTTCCATTCCATTCCCAACAGGTAACAGCTGACGATATGGAAGTAAGCGCCGCTACTGGACGCAGTCCCTCGTCGGACTCGGGTCTGGGCATGACCGTAACGGATATACATAAACGGTACCTAAACACTGAGCACCTAATCAAATAGACCATTACACAACAACAACAACAACAATCAAGAACTGATCATTGCGTATCTGTATCTGTATCTGTATTCGTTAACCCGTTGATAGACCCGCACTACAGTTGCCCTATCGGCCCATGTCGGCGGGACCAATACTGCATCGTTCACAGCATTATCAGCCAGCAACAACACATGCAGCTAGCAACCAATCACCATCACCGCCACCAAAACCACTACAACAACAACAACAACAACAACAACAACATTATCCACCACATCATACCTCATTGCGTCATCTGGGCGGCGGCGTCGTTGGAAATGTGCGTCATCCTCACCAGCAGCAATTGGGACCAAATCAATTTAAAATCAAACAAGCCAAAGACAATCAGCAACAGGTCAGGAATTTGCGTGAAGCATCTAGCGTCCCATTGGCACCACTTAGATCTGTCACTACTCAAAAACTCTTTCCTGGCTCTGTTTCTGCTAAATACTTTCAAGAACTATCCATAGTTTTTCCATTAGAATCAGCAAATATTTAGCTATATGAACAGAAATTGTTTATGTTTCATCTATATTGGAAAAGACTGAGAGAAACTTTCAGAAAGCTTTAAAAATTTCCAAATTAAGCTAAACAATATTCATTTTATTTTATTTTAAACTTATCTTTCATATGCTCTCTAATTAAATCCTCTTTATTCCTTTATTCTTGATTGAATTTAGCTTTTGATATCTTAATAACTCTGGTTTATTTTCTCTGCTCTGCTCTTTCTGTGCTATATTAACTTAATTTGTATTGCATATATAAGAAAAATTGACATTCGGATCTAAATCGTCGCGTCTCGAGCCGCTTTATTGTGTGTTGTCTCTTGTCTCGTGTGTTTTTTTTTTGTTTTATTTATTTTTTGTGTTCTGTCCCTTGACATTTCTATATATGTGTGCTCTTTTGAAGAGGACTTCTTTTCATGTTTTGTGTATGTCTAATTGTGCAATTGTTTAATGTTCCTTGAGTTTTTAAATATTTCTGTTGTCTAATTGGCTGCTAATTGTCGTAGTTTAATTGACTAAAAAATTGAAAAGGCCTTTTCAAATTGGCTATTGTTATTATGCATAAACGCAAAGAAAATCTCAAAAATGATTTTTTCGCTTTTCTGTCTCCGGCTTAGGAATACGGCTGTGATGAGCATAGAACTCGCCGGGGCAGCGAAACCCTATTACCGGAATATGAACAAGATGCGGTGAGTAACCAAAACAAGGTTTTAACCCCTTCGGGCCGTGACATGTAACGTGTAGAGGCTCTATTTAGAGGTATTCTGTAGGGGTAGATTTGCAGAATAAGCCCAGTTGCTAGCATTGAATTTCATTCATGAAGTTCTCATGTCACATCATCGCCAAACATGCCTATACAAATATACTTACTATATAATACCATTTCAGAGTTTCTTTCGAGTAACACAAAAATCGATTCAAACACTTGACAAGCTTTGATTTTATTATTATTGTATAGCTAATATAGGAAACCTAAGCTTACCACAGTAAACACTAAACTTAAGCACTAAATTATGCAAAAGAGCTTTAAACTCTTGATAGATTATAGTTATATATAGCATGTGTGTATATACCATATATATATATCTGTCTCTCTCGCTCGACATATTGGTAGTGTAATCAATACGACAACAGCAAAGCCAGCGTCAATGCAATCCAATTGAGCTCAAACAGACCGCCGAGCTGCCAGCCCGGTAGATCCCTGCCACTCCCCACCAGCTCAGCTCAGCTCAGCTCAACTCAGCTCCTCCCTTAGATTTTGTCGTGCGTGGCGCTGTCCTCCGCTGCCGACCAGGCGACGGCTCCACCAACAACTGGCAAGTGATAATCGCGTGGCGGTGTAAAGGGCCGCACAAAGTGTCGCCACTGATGATGGGCGTGGTGATGATGATGATGCTGTAGCTGAAGCTGATGATGATGATGATGATGTGTGGGCGTCGATGTCATTGTCGCGGTTGCTGTCGCTGTTGCCGTTCCCGCTCCCGTTCCCGCTCCCGTTGCCGTTGCATGCTGGTGCTGCTGGTGGCAGCTATTCGGCTCGAATTTCGGGCGTGGTATGCGCAATTGTTTGATCTCGGTCAAATAGGTTTCCATGCTGGAGTGCCAATTGTTTGTCCGCCTGTTGATTTGTTAAGTTGTTTTAATGAATCGTCCGATTTGTTGTTCTTTAACCAAGTTGCAAATGCCAAGCTGTGTGTTGTGTGTGTGTGTGTGTGATGTTTGTTGTGTGTTGTCGGCAATTCGACAAAGCTAAACTGAAACACACGACCGATTGACTAGGACAAACAACAGCTTAAAATGGTTGTGTGTATAAATCTGGTTTGCAAAACCAACAAAAAATGGTTGGTGGTTCGGTTGGCAATTCGAACCAGCGTCCTGCCTTTCAGAGCCTTCCGCACAGGTTTTTCTTTAAACCTTGATTTGTTACACATTTTAAAAATTTACAAATGCCCTTTGTACTGAAAATTTTGCAAGCCGTAAATATTTTCATATACAAAATGCGGGCTACATTTTATTTCTACCCAAATTGGCATCTGTCAAATGTAGTTATGCAATAATTGGGTCATAGTTATTTGTACTTAAGCCAAACAATTTTTTGACCATAAATGTATGCACATACTCAGGAAGAATTTTACTCATAGATATGCTGCCATTGCCTGACTTTGTGCAGGTCTAGCGCTTTTCTCAAGACTGAATCTACTTGTTTTTCCCCTTATTTTCCGTCCATTAAGATGGATTCTCAAAAATTGTTAAAATGGGGTTTCACATAAATCTTTGTTAGTAGCTCGAACGCTACTAGTTATTATTTCCTCCCTATTCCACGCTGGTTAGTGGATTTCTACAAAACTTAATTTCGTTGCACTACAAATTACAGATAATGACTTTCACACATATCTGTCATTCAACAGTTTTTCTACAAAATGCCATTTTGGTGCTTTATAATTTACAGATAATGAAATTTACATAGATCTTTGAACGATGTCTTGAAAGCTAGTAGTTGTCATTCAACGGGCTTTCGCCCATATTCCACGCTTGTGAGTGGAATTTTACATAATGATTTAAGTACTGACAGATAATGAATACAACTGGCTACTACTACAGTTTGGACTGTGTATTATTTTCCACATTTATATATAAAATGTATGTGAATGCATTTGTAGCCATATAGTTCATTACATTATTCAATGGCTAACAAGTCGCATTATAAAGTTATTGTGCCTGCTTTGCAAGGAGCATACGAAAAGTGAAAGTAAATTTGCCGCTTTTAACGAAACAACAAGAGCAGCAGCAACAACAATAATAACATCAACAATAGCTACAACAGCTACAAATGTTGCTTGTGAATTGTGTTGCCAAAAGACACGAAAATTGCAATAATTTCCGCAAAAGGCGTTCGTCCAAATCAACGCATCGACTGCAAGTTCAATGTGTGTGTTAACTGTCTGGCTCTGTCAGAAGCCATTTGGGATGTAATATGGCCAACTGCAGCTGGAGCAGAAAGAGAGAGGTTGACGGCGAGGGAGGGGGGAGAGGGAGAGAGTGAGCTACTCGCTTAGCCCTGTTTACACAGCTGACACTGCGAGACGGCGCAGCAAAGGGGGCAAGTTCGACTTCTTCGAGCGGTGACCAGCGACCGGCTGAGCAAGCAACCAGTTTGATTTCAACTAAAAACAGACAAACAACTTTTTGTTGTTGTTGTTGCTGTTGTTGTTGCTGTTGTTGCTGTAAGTGGATGTCTGGGCAATGCGACACTCACTTTTTGTTGAAGTTACAACGGCAGCAGCAAGTCCATGCAGGCCGGCAGCCAGGCAGTCAGGCAGCCAGGCAGCCAGGCGAAGACCAAAACTCAAAGTGGGTCATTAGAGAAACGTACTAAATAAGGTACAAAACTTTGTCAAGAGCAGCATAAATGGAAAGTAAATAGTGGTTGTTGTTGTTGTTATTGTTGTTGTTGCGTCCAAGAAAGCGGCAAACAAGCAACTCAAAAAATGTTGTTTATAATGTAAATAGACGTTAAATAAATCATTTTGATGCGTAGCAGCAGCAGCAGCAGCGCCAACTAAACCATTCAAAATCCGGTCTAAAAAGTCAATGGGTGTAAAGCATAATCAACACACTAAATAGTCAGTCTCTGCAAGAGACAGAGAGAGAGAGAGAGGAGGGGGGGTTGGAGGAGAAGAGAAGGGGGGAACACAGTAGAAGAGCAGAAGAGCGACATGTCTTTAAGCAGCCAAACTAATGAACCCAATTGTTGTGTTGCCCAGTGTCAAATTCGGGCAACTTTATTTTTTACAGTTACCTTGTTTTTGAACTGTCGGGAAGAGTACATAAAAGTTCTCACAGCTTCCACTTTAGTCAACTGCAGACAACTTCTATGCTCGGGGGCTCAGTTAAATGTCTGCTTTTTATTTTGAATAGGTTTAATGACCAGCTTCAGTTTGTTTGGGCGAACGATTAGTGTCCGTTTTAATTGGCTATGAAAAGTTGGGTAAATTAATGAAAACACGAAGGAAATATTTTCCCGCTAAGATCGCCCAATTTGTATTTTAATCTTGGATTTTCATATAATTCACTCGATCGATTGTTCCTATAAGGCCTAGTACAACCAGGTTGATGTACAAAGGTGTTCGGATCATGAAAAAGGCTCCTTGAATTTAAATGCTCACTTCAAGAGAGAATTATACATTGAAACAAGATTTAAATATTTACATATTTATTTACACCTATTTACCCTCTGTCAGGCTACATATATATCTATATATTTAAATATTTATATCAAATTATATATTTCACTGATCATTCAGACAAATTGTCTCAGGGAAAGTAAGTTTTTTAGGTGTGCTATAATCTATGCATATACATAATCTTCACATTCTCAGATTCTGCTACATCATCCAATCTAATCAATTTGTTCCCAAGCTACTGACATCATCTTTCTTTTATTTGGACTGTGACCCAGTTAACTGAATATCACATTTAATCATGTTGCACAATGCTCGTATTGGGGCGTTTGCCGCTTTGACAGACAGCTTAGCGATCGGTCAGCTGTCAAGTTTTTAGTTTGTGGGTCAATGCGCTGATCTGGCAGCGAGAAATAATAATTATTATGGCCAGTTATATGCATAGACGGTGTCACAATGGATGGTCGCATGATCTGGCTGGCTGGTGTGCTAGCTAACAATGGTGTGAATTGGACAGCAAATTAGCTGCTCACCTTTTGTTTACAAAAGATTAATAGACAGCGAGTTAGACGGGGTTGGACGGCGAGCACAGAACCGAACCAGCTGCTGAAAAGTTTCACAAATAAGTTGGCGGCGGGTTCTGTGCACGGAAAAGTTAAAGTGACGACGCGTCGAAACTTTCACAAAGCAGAAAGAGAATTTTCCAACAGTAAGAATAATGAAATTGACGTTCAATTGCCCAGCCCACATTTAACTGTACTCCAGCTGTCCTAGCTGTAGGTTTTCTTTTCTTTTATATATTTTTTTTTTTTTTTTTTTTTAACATTTTTTAAACGCACCAAGTTTGTCAGTCAGCAGTTTTTTGAAATCCGCTTAGAGCCAACAATTTAAAATCAATCAAATTTATGACTTTGCAAACTTCACAGCGGTTCGTCGTCTATATGTATATTACATATATATGGATGTAGCTGGTTGCTTGATTTGTAACCAAATCCAACGGCGCAGACAGCCTCACAGATACACAGATAGACAGATACACAGATACACATGCCATTGACCTCAATGCGTAGCGGCTGAAGCCGCATTTGTCTGCTGTATCCCATAGATACTTGCTAACTCGAGTAGCCCGGGCCACAGTTGCCCAACTGCCATTAGATACGCATTGACAAATGTGTATATATATATATATATGTATATGTATATATATTTATTGTGCGTATTAGTATATGGCTCTGTTAATTTTGCCAATTTAATGGGCTATTGGATTTTAATGCGGCGCATTTCAAAATAATGTTCAAGGTAAAAAATCTTAAATTTGACATATTTCAAATGAATTGAATTGAAATTATTTAACTGTATCTGATGCGAAGTTTATTTTGGGCGCAATTATGTGAATTGTTGTGGGTGAATTGAATGTTTATTATTATTATGAAACAAATATTGATCAAATGATTCAATATATAATATTAGTCTATAATTGTATCTTTTTCGCCAAAAGTTTTTACATAAATTGAAAATTTAGAATGATTTATAAATTCACTTGTGATTTTCGTTATTTTGCTCAATTTGAAGTGAAGTTTTAGACTGTCTGTCAATTACTCGGTATAGAAATATTTTGACATTGATCTTCTGCCTTGAGAAGTCCAACTCAATTTGACTTTTTGAAAATAGTTTTTCTGAAACTAATTATTTTTGTTGGCAAGAACTAATTGGCCAAGTGAAAACTGTGGGTAAAAGTAAACTTAACTGTTAGCTGTCAGTTGTTTTTCGTTTTTCGTTTTTCGTTTTTGTTCGTCTGAGGCAGTTTATAGCTCGTCCTACCGCTAACTGCTTTCCCTTTAGTCTTTAGCTAGTTTTTGCTTTTGTAGGTCGAAATGTTTAGCGGCTGCTCGTCGAATTGTGCTCAGAATCTCTTGACTTCCGTCAGCTGTGAGTGACTGAAAGCAACTTAATTGCAAAGCCAGTCGGCGCAAAAAATCAAACCGAAGCTGTTGAGGCATAGCCCCTAGCTGCGGGCAATTAAAAAACAGCCATAAACAAAAGAAATTAGCGCGCAACAACAACAAAGACCAAAAACTGGCAGAAGGTGAGCAACAGAAGTTAATTGAATGCAAATGCGATTGCAAAAAAAAGGTTTGCCACAGTCATTCAACGTGTCGCCCAGACTTGTGGCTGCAACCTCATCTCCATTTCGGTTGGGACACATGTGTGTGGCAAGATTGCACTTGCCTTGCGGCCCAATGTTGCAAAAACCCAAACACACAATGATGATATAACAAAACAAAACACAAAGCATCTGCTGTGCCCGGGGCAGGGCAATTGACGCCTGGCCGCAAGAAAACGCAGCCAGGTAACTTCTTTCAATTGTGTGTTGTTTATTTGTTAGTTCGAGTCGGCTGTTGTTTATGCAACAATTTGTGGCAAACAGAGCGCGAAATGAGCGGCAACAACGCGAAATTTGTCAACGCCACAACTTGGCTGAAACTTGTTTAAGTTTTTGGTATTTACACGTAATTTACTATTTATACGCACGTTTTGTGTCTTACAAATTGTTAACTCAGCCGGAGAAGCTGTTTCTCGCTGTCTCTGTCTCTGTCTCCAGTTTGTCTCCAGTTTGTCTCCAGTTTGTCTCTCGGTGCTTCTCTCCGCTTGTCTCTCGACTCTTTGTGGGCCTGGGCCAACCTAACGCTTCAAGCAACGACGCGCAACTAAAAACTGAAAATGCAGACGCGGCCAAAACAGCAGCCAACTGCGATGTCGGCGTCGTCAGCTCCGCTGTTTTGGTTTGTACACTGCCTTGGGGTACAGTAAATTTCTTATCCATTTGGGCTTGTTCGGGAGCAGATCTACAAGCTGCTAAAAACTGGTCGCTGGTTCAACTTACAGTTCGAAACGACACGGTTCTTAAAGCTGGTTTTGCACATACTTGAACTTGGAATTTGTATCTAGTCTTTGTTTGTCTTATATTTTAAAGATTTTAATTAAACAATTCATTTTTAATTTACACTTGCCCGTTGTATTGGAAATATTGGAAGATGTAAACAATTTCGCGTACAAAATGCGGGCTACATTTTATCTTTAACCCAAACTGGCATCTAACAAATATGTTAAGATAAATTGAATGGGGCTAGAGATAATCCATTATTTTATTTAAAACTAAATTATTTTGGATGTGGCTTGATCGGCTCGACTATTGATGCCAATCAAGAATAAGTATACTTTATGGGGTCTTTCTTCTGCCTGTTACACACATTTGCACAAATACATTATTTCTTTTTTACCTATGTTCAAAGGGATCAGACTATAAGAAACCCTTTAATATAATATCAGGGAAAGGGCATTCAAGTGCTTTAATATTGTAATGCTTAAATAACTCGTAGTTTACTTTGCTTGTGGCTTTCTTTAAGCCTCTCCGACTGTCTGCGTTTCAGTTACTTTTTATGGCTCAGTAATAAAAAAAATGACACGCAGCGACACAGCGAGGCAAAGGCAACAACGACGGCAACAACAATTATAAATGGTGCAGATTGTCCAAAAGATTGTCAATATTTATGGCTAAAAATTATTATAGAAAAGTAATACACACACATAAGTATATCATTTTCCATATGTAAATAGGCATAGTTATATATATATATATAAATATGTATGCATATGTATAAGTAAGTTAAGTGAGTTGTAAGCGGGTTGCTGTAAGTTTTACGCAATGGCCAGCAGCAATAGCTGCAGCTGCAGCAGCGGCAACAGCAGTAGATACGTCCGTATCTATGAGATACTGTATCTGCAGCTGACACACTGCAGCTGTGGCTGCGGCTGCTGCTGCGGCTGCCATCGCTTGTTGTTGCTCACCGCAGTTTGTCGGCGTTTTTGTTTTGCTCTTGCATGACGTAAACACAAAATCTGCCCAATCGCTTTTGCTGCTGTTGATTTGTTGTGTATGGAATGGAGTTGATGGCCAAAAGCCACGTTTGGCATTGAAAAGAGATGAGCTACCTTTTTTCTTTTTCATTTTTTTATTTTGAACAACTTATGTCTAATTGTTAACAGTTTCAGCAGGCACTTGCGCATTTACAGTTGCCATTGTTGTTAAATTTTATTCACATATACCTGTTTCTCTCTCTCTCTCTCTTTTTCTCATGCTCTTTAATCTCTGCGTGAACTGGCTAAAACAACGAACTAAACGTCAAATACAAAAATACAGGAACAGGTAAGCGCTTTGCGTTCGCTTTGCATTCGTTTTTCGTATGCGTCGTCGTTTGTTACAATTTAAGCACTTTTTTCAAAACTATCTTTTAAACACACACACGCACACACACTCAAACACACACAACATGCCCAACTGAAAAGCCATTTGTACTCACACACACACACACACAGCCACAGCCACACACATACATATACATATATAAATAACTTCATCACAAACAAAATACAATAAGGAAGCAGCCAATTTAGCTGCACATGCTAAAAGAAAAGTCTTTTGCCCAAGCGTTGTAAATATTTAGCGCTATTTTTACTATGTATTTCCCACTGATTGTTGTTAATATCTCTATGGCTGCCATGCATTAGCTGTAATGGGCCGCGGAAATATGGATGTGCCTTGCGATCTGCTGCTGTTGCGCTTCACCAAACCAAGGCCCAAAACTAAATTGCTGACATAATCAAGTTAATGAGACCAAATAGACCATGTTTTTTTTCGTCTTGAGTCATAGAAAATTTGGTGCAAATAAAAAGTGGAAAATTACGCTGCAGCAGCGGCAGAAGCAAAGCTTTGCAGCGCCCCTAAAAGTATGCAACAGTTAATCAAATGCTGGCAACATGATGCTCAGCAACATTTGCTGTTAGCAACATCGAGGTAGACAGCAACATTGTAGCTAGGAAGCAGTTCGATTTATTGACAATCTTTTTTGCAGAGCAATACGAAACTTATGTAGAAAAACAAAAAAAAAAAACAAAAAAACAAAGCCGTCCAAGATAAATATATGTTAATTTTTATAATGATAGAGACATTTATATCTGGTAAAATTATTAATAATAGCCTTAAATTAAAACTACAAAAAGTTCATTCTATGTAGTTGTAATCATTATATTTGACATTAAGTAAATCATTTAGAACAACACAGGGCCGTATTTAAGCTATGTAGAAAACATATTTACTAGAAATAATAGAAACATACCCGTAAAACTGATTTAAAGCTTAATTAGCTAAAAGTGTAACAACACGTAGCGTAAAAGAAACTATATAAAAACGTATATATTTATATTGATAACATTGATATAGTATGTAAAAGAGCGCAGTTGATGGCTCTACAATTCCCACATATCACAAAAGACAGCTCCAGAACCCCATTTACTTTCAGTTCTGTTCGTGACACCATTTCGTTTGACCACTTTCTCAATTCTTTGGCACTTTAAGTTTCATATACCCGCCAATCATACTTACATATACATGCATACATCTATGTATATCATATTCGTTTTTAGTCCAATGATTTTTGTTTAGTTTGTTAATGGTTAATTTCAGTTCTGTTTTAGTTGATTTGTGTGCTCTCTCTCTCTTACTCTCTGTTACTCTCTCTTTCTCAACCTTTACCCGTTCTCCCCCCGAAATTGTTCTCGTTTGTTCATTTGTGTGCATTTCAGGGCGGCTACTTAGATGGACTACGTTCACATTTGGGTGGTTTAACACAACGTGTCAAATCATGGTATTGGGGACGACCTCTTGTAAGTGCCAATGTATTTTTCGTTTAACGAAAGTAAACTATAAACAAACAAAAAAAAAAAAAACGAAAACTTAAACCAAAAACAAATCAAAATACAAAACCAAAAAATCCAAAAATAAAATGGAAATAATACAAACAGCAACCACAAAACACAATAATTGTGTCACAAGCAATTGAACAGTTCTTTGCGAATGTTTGAAATACTTTTGAATTTGCATCTCGTTGCATTTTCAGCGCATAAATTCAAATTTAGCCTGACTTTAGTATTGTTGCAATAATGTTATTTTATGCTCTGTCTCACTCTCACTCTCTAAGTACGCTCTCTGTCTATTTTCTCTCTCTATCTAAATAATTAATTAACCAACCAACTAACCAACCAACTAACTAACTAACTAACTAACTAACTGTTTGTATGTGCCTTGCAAGAAACAGCACAATGCGAGTGCAAATAAAAATGATAATAATAAAAAACTAAATTTGCATTTCCATTTGTTCCTCGCACACACACACACACACACATACACACACATGCATACACTTTTTCTGTTGTAATCGTAGGAATTGTGTTTTAGTTCTTGACCTCGTCTCGTCTCGTTTATTGTTTCAATTTCAACTAATTGCTTGCACACACACACACACACACACACACACACACACGCACACACACTCTGACTTGAGCTCATTTGTTTCTTTAGCCGAATCAAAACGTAAAAGTTAACGTACTTAACTATATTTTAATGTTTGTTTTGAATTCTTAACCAACTTGCGCACCCAAGAAAAAATACTCGTTTTCTTTTAACTAACTAGAGTTTTTTTAGTCTCTTGTAAAGTAATTGTCAATGTAAGTATATTAACTAAAAAAAAAAAAATGCAAGAAAAACAAATCATAATTCAACACGTTTCAAACAACGTCAACGCAAATTAAACAAAAAGGTCAAACTAAATAAAAAAAACAAACCAAAAGAAAGAAAAAGCTTGAAAAATACATTTGCACATTTACGCATGAGTCAACCTAATTTGTTAACACCAAAATCAACCACAACCCAACCCCACCAAAGGCATCGACACATGCAAAAATTGATTTCAATTCCATCAACTTTTCATGATTCGTTTGTAGTATATACATACTTATGTATATGTACATATATGTATACATATATCTGGTAATTTGTTTCGCCCTGTAATTAGATTTTCCGCTCCCCTCATACTTTTGTACATTTGCGTTTATATAAATCCTCTTATATTTTCATCTTAACTTTAGCTGCTGCCGCCCTCCACACACACACACACACACACACACTCTCTCTCTCACACACTCACACACACACGTACACCTCTAGTCGTAGCTATAACTCTTAGATACCCACATCTGTAAAATAAGTTCAAGTTTTTTGAAGTTTTAGTTAGCGCTTTTCTGTCCAAAACAAAACCAATCCCCTACAAATTGAAATAAAATAGCCAATAAATCTAGTCTTGTTGAAAATCTAGCCAAAAATCTAAGTGTCTTAGTTGCCAAGTTTTGCAAGCCGTTTCTTTCGTAAAATACACTCTATAAATATATTTAAACACATCCCAACTACACATTTTGTATAGCTGCAATGCCTATACACTACACTTAAACACATACTATACACACACACACACACACACACACCAGCACTTGCATTCTCATAAATTGCACCCAGATACACACACACACATTCAGTACTCTAACTACACTTTAAGCTTATCTAAAAAGCAACATTTATTGTACTTTTTTTGTTGTTGAGTATTCTAATTATGCGGCATCGATACCTTGTGTATTTCATCTGCTATCGATTTTTTTGTCAATCGATAACATTGCGGCATTCAAAATAGATTTAGGTTTTTTCTGTTGCTTAAACTGTTTGGAATTATAAATGTCTAATGCATATTGCAGAACGACAAAGCTTCTATATGTCCTTCTATTAAATATACACAACATATTTATACTGCGATTATTTTAATCTATCTACTCTATAACTTATCGGTCGATAGGTACTCATAAAGTAGCAGTGAACTGCTGACAACTGGTTTCAAATTTAGTTGTATATTATAACGATTTTAAATGCTGCTTAATTTGAGACTAAAATGTGAAGGAACGAATGCTTATGGACAAATGGAAAGTCTTACTCATGCATTGCAGACATATTTGAAAGCTGCTTGATAAAATGTATATTAACAACGCATTTGAATATATTCATAAAGCTTTGGGAATTAAGAATCTGAATCTTTCTGCTAACATTCATATAAATTCAAGTCCCACAACAAGTTTTCACATATCATATGAAGAATATGTAAATATACCCATAATCAACCTATTTCAAAAGCAGCGCAATATTGTAATCCTTTTTTCCAATTTTGTCTTCAATTGAGTTTCTCAATAAGATGCAGTGTACTCATGTGCATTTTAGTTGCCAATCCCACACACAATGCATTGACGCATACATCCATGCATACTCTGGGTTGTATGCAAATGAAATTTGTACAAATCAGAAAAGTGTTCACAGTAAAGTTTTCAATTCTCAATTTAAATCGATTCACTCAAGCACGCAAAAAGCTTTTGCATATGCTGTTCTGCTACCACAACCACGATTCCCGAAACTCTCCCTCACTCTAAAGTACGTTTCACTTTTAACTCAACTACGTACACATATATGTATGTATATCTATCCATATATATATTTTCGACTACCATACTTTTTCAACTACATATCTATTTGTATGTCTGCAAGTAAACAAACTAAAACAATTGTACCATAATAATACCAAATAGCAAATAAAACATATTACAAGAAGAACACTTTACATGGACGCAATATCGTGTTGTCGTTGCCAAGTTCTAAATCAGCAATTGCAACGATTTTTATGTTTTTTTTTATCTAGCAGCAATTCTTAGTACAAATACAACCAATTCTTATGCAAACATCTTTCTACTATTTTCATTTTATATTCAACTTTTTGTAAAAACAAATCAATTCAAAAAAAAAAAAACCAACAAATTCTTTACAACTTTGCGCACTCTGCATAAAATTCGGCCAAAATTACGAAAACATAAAATGTGACCGTATGCAAAAAAAAAAAACACAAAAAAATATTGAAAAAAAAAATATTAGGAGTTGGCCACAAAACTCTCAAGAAGTTTCGATATGAAGGAAGAAGGCGGCACTTTGCTGGGCGATAAAGGTGTACGAAGGCATCAGGTGAGTGCTACCATTAAGTGCGATATGCAAGCACAATAAATACCAGAAAAAATACCAATGAAAATAAAAATACCAAAATACTCGTGTTTATCGAGCTACGACAGCAGAGAATGCCAACAAAATAATAATACTAGATAAAAGAATGTTTGCGGTTTGATTTGATAATTCGCTAAAATTCAAATTTATGCTCTGTCAGTACGTTTTTTTTTTTACTCTAATATTCTTAAAGGATCTCTACAAAAACACATACAAATGCACACACGACAAACTTTTAGAAACCAAAAAATTTTATGCAATTTGGTCAACCAAAAAAACCAACAACATCTCATGTTCCATTCTCACAGAAACAACTGAAACACTAAATCAACCAAAAATATCAAAGAATTGGATTCCCTTAGCATTAAAGTTTCATTTCGTTTGACGCCCCCACATACACTTTAAAAAAATATACAATACCTTTTCTTCAAATTTGTAAAAAGTACTTTGAAAAGAAAATATATCTTAGCTTTGCTTGCCTTTAATCAAACACAACCTATACATATTTAGCTTTTGATAAACACCATTCAAAGTTGATATTTATTAATCATACCTAAGCATTAGTGAATTGTAGGCTATAAACTATATCTTGCAGCTTTAACCAGCAAGTTATGCAATGCTTAACAACATGATTGTACTCAAAGTCTGAGCGTTTCTTAGGTTTATTTTCAATGTACATATTATGCTTGACTCTCGTTTCATGATCCCTTAGTCCATGCAGCGTCTGTCAACTGAGCAGAACGGTGGTTCAACGACTGAACAAACACATGAACACAATCCAAACGTCGTACCTGATCATAGAGGCAACTTACACATTACAGTTAAGAAAACCAAACCAATTTTAGGTATTGCTATCGAAGGTGGTGCTAATACAAAGCACCCGCTTCCTAGGATAATCAATATCCATGTGAGTCCCCCACCCCAACTGATTAATAATGAATGAAATGATGCCAACTAATCGTTGCCAAATTTGTTTAGGAAAATGGTGCGGCATTTGAAGCGGGCGGCTTGGAAGTCGGGCAATTGATACTGGAGGTAGACGGCACCAAGGTGGAAGGTCTACATCATCAGGTAAGCTGCATAGCTGGATATTCATTTGAGAATTCTAACGACGAACTGTTTAACATTGTAGGAGGTTGCTCGATTGATAGCCGAATGCTTTGCAAATCGTGAAAAGGCTGAAATAACCTTCTTAGTTGTCGAAGCAAAAAAATCAAATTTGGAACCGAAGCCAACAGCGTTAATATTTTTAGAAGCCTAACATTTGCTTGCCCTGCCGGCTAGTGACCCATTGGAACGACAAAAACTCGAGTTCCTCTATGAATGGGGCATCGATTTAACGGAGACGCCAAAACCAATGCCAACACCGATACCGCTGACAAAAGCTAAAAATCCACCGCCACTGCCTCATGAGCTACATACCAACAGCAACAGCAACAGCAGCAACTATGGCAGTAATTCTGCGCTCAACAATCATCCTCATCATCATCAGCAACAACAACAACAGCAACCACAGCAACAGCAACAACAACAGCAACACTATCAACCCAATACATCCACCAACACACCAACAACACAAGCAACAGCTGCAACTACAACAAAACAACAACAACAACAAAGACAACACTTGAATACACCAACAAAAGCATCGCGCGAGGCGACGCCAACTCGTGAGCAACAGCAGCAGCAGCAGCAGCAGCAACAGCAGCATGCGACGCCCACGTGCGAGCCACATACACCAACACGTCAACAACAACACCAACAACAACAACAACAACAGCATCAGCAACGGGAGCAACATCATCGCGAGCGCCAGCAACAGCTGCGCGAACAGCGTGAGCAACGCGAACGTGAATACCAACACGAACACCAGCAGCATCATATACGCACACATCCTGCGTATCATCGTGAGCATCGTGAGCACGAGCAGCAATATCATCATCAACAGCATCACAATCATCATCAGCAGCAGCAACAGCAGCAGCCATCATCAGCGCATTATCAACAGCAGCAGCAACAGCAACAGCGCTACAGCAGCAACAGCTACAAGAATCATAATAATTCCGTTTACCAGTGAAAAATGAGAAAAACAACAACAACAACAGCAAAAACAACAACAACAATGAGAATCGCTAAATTGGAACAATTTTGGAACATTCTTTCAAACGGCTTTCAACAGTTAACAGTTAAATTGTGCTAACAAAAACCCCACAACGCTAATGTCTCGCTCTCCCTTCCTCTCTCTCCCTCTCTCTCTCTCTCTCTCTAGTTATCAATGTCTCTCACGCACGCCTCTCTACACCAGCTGCTTAAAAGTTATCCCCCCCACCCCGAATAGAAATTGGAAACTTTTCGATATGCTGTAAGCAAATATGCAATTCAATGTTGTTGTATGAGCTCCCGTTAACAATTTCCCATCCCAACTATCCACACGTCTGTGTTCTTTTGTTGTAGTTCAAGAGCTGCTCTATAGACAAAAAAAAAAAATGATAATAATAATTTTTAGGTGTGTTTGATACAGTTTTGTTGACTTCTGACCAAACTCTTTTTGAATACATATCCAATTTCGTTTGAAAATCGCGCACTTTTAGCTCATGTATCTATAATTGTTTCCATTTATTTGTTTCTCAATTTCGATATGATTTCTATTCCCAATATATATCAATACAAATAATCACACTGCCAAGAAAATATTATAAATATATAAAAAAAATATTAAAAAGAAAAATAATATGTAGAGCAGCTCTTTTATCTCGGCCCCCTTCTGTCAAATCCAATGCAACCCACTTCCTATAGAGCTCGCCAACGTTTTTTAGCCAGTGATAAAACCAAGAGTAGAGCCCGTAACTGAACTTAGGACTTCTAAAAACAAAATAAAAAACTCATACACACGCTTATGTGTAAAGCTGTAACTATTTAACATATTATTGTATTATGTATTTAATAATATGATTATGAACGAGCAACTTAGTCTAAAGGGTTAGTCGTTAAAAATTATTTAAACTAAAACCAAAATGAAAGCATATTTAATTTCACAAAAACGAAAAAGAAAAATAAAAAAAAAAAACCAACAAAAATATCCACAAACCCAACCAAAAATAACAAAAATTATATGGCAAACATAAAAGTAAATATGATGAAGAAACCAGAGCTTAAAAAAGTTATAATTAAAGATCCCTTAACCGTAAGAACACATTAATAACGCAGAAGAAGCAGAAAAACAGCTACAGACACTGTAAAAATGAAACAAGAACAAGCGAATAATCGAACAGATCAGCTTATGTTATGCAATAACACACACATGGACACATGGACAGATGGACACAGGACACACACCACACACATACAGAGCACACCTTCACATAATGCTTGACTATTTATGTAATTAGCCGAAATAGCAACAACATCAACAAGTATAAAGCCCACCTAAGCAAATAATTTGTAAAAATAATCGTAATACACGCATAAATACAAGCACACCACACACATACACACATACATACAACATGCACACATACATGTGTACAAATTAAAGCCTAATTATTGAAAGAAAAAACCATTAAAATACCAAACACCAGACAGCACAGACAGGCGAAGTGTCATTAAAGCAGACGTAATGCAAGCAGTGCGTACCAGACAACACACAACACAAGCAGGAAAAGTGTCGTTAAAGCAGTACGTACCACAAACTCACAAAATAACATTTATCGAAACAAATACTTATCAAAATTAAACAAACCAAACCAAAAAAAAAAAACAACAAAATAATAATAATAACCAATATGAAGAAACCGTATTTAGTACAATTTTAACTGCACACTGCACTCTTTTTGAATGTTTGTTAAATGTTTTAAAGAAAATACACACAAGAACAGCTGCAAAATTGTATTCCTCTCACGAAAATCCACTAAGAAAAACAAACTATGGTAAACGAATTATATAATACTAAAAAAAGCTACGCTACTCTACCATTAAAAACAACTAGCAATTTAAATACCATTTACAGATGAATATGCAGTAGAGAAAACGAACGCTTAAAATTTGAGGTTGATTGGCATTAAGTAAAGCATTAAAGACAAGTTAAAACGATGTTAAAGGCCGACAGGGCGCGATAACGAGCAACTATCCAAAAGCACGACTCAACAACTATTTGTGCAAGAGTTTAATATATATACATAAATACATATATGTATATTTATTGTAAAATATTAGCAAAACCAAAAACAAACTAACTTTTTAATATGAAGAAAAAACCAAAAACAAAAATATTACAAAATGTTTCTCTTATATCTCTCAGTCTAACACACATTTTGTACCCAAATTATTTGGCAAAATTTGCGAATTTTTCAAATATTTCAAATTTTGTTTGTTGTGTGTGCTAGAAAAAGAAATTGAACAAAATGAATTGTAAAAGTTATAAAATCAGAATACAGAAATCTGAATGTCGTATGAGCAATTTTTTCCCCTTAAGTCAAGAGCTCGCCGTATTGAGCCGAAAGTTAGCTTTGTGTCTAGTTATTTCAGAAGGAAGGGAATATTTATATGCCTGGCTTGTTTTTCATAACCGAACGCAAACTCTGTCTGCCAAGCTCTAATTCCACCTTTCTCTCTCTATATCTATTGTGTGTGACTTTAGTGAGCAGAACAGAATAGAATGGAAATTTTTGGAAAAAAATGTTAAATGATATCGTAATTGTACTTTTGTTGACTATTATGTAATAACGCTTTGCTGTACGTATATTAGTTATGTAAATTTTTAGCTGAAACCCAATGAAGAGAATTCTTAAGAAAAACACAAAAACAAAATTTCAAGCGCATGCTGTTAGTTATTGTTAGTAATCTATTATTATAAACAAATTGTTCGTGTATAAAACTATAAAAAAAAAAAACAAAAACAAAAAACATTTAAAATTCAAAATTCAAAATTGTAACTTATCTTTGAATTGGTCAACAGAAAAACAGAAAGAAAAAAAGGAAATTAAAAACATGTTAAAAGATTTTTTTCAGCGTTTATGCGTGTCAATCAGACGGATATCGTGTATTGCCTGATCGCAATTAGATGGCACGCCCGAGCGCGACTGTAAATTGCGTAAAATTCTGATAAAAGGCTTACTTAAACTTAACTTAAACATAACATATAACATAATACCTAACTCACACAAGTACATTAAATATATATACCTATATATATATATACAATTACATGTAACGCATATAGAGCATACTCGTATACTAACTATATCTAACGTAACGACAATGAAAAGCAATTTGAAGCAAACAAGCGAAACAAACAACAATTTCAATTCCCGAAACATATTTAACACACGAACACAGAACAATACGTCGAAGTAATTGAGTTAAAGATGAGGCAACTAAAGATATATATTAGTAAAAACACAAGCAACAAAAGCTGCTATGCTATGCTAAAGGGTAAAAGGCATTTATTCATAACACAAATGGAAACCAGCTTATAAATACCATAAAAAAAAAAAACAATTAATATATATATATTAAAACACCTACCACGTAATATCGTAACGTAAATAGCAATAGCGTATACTAGTTGATATTAGCCGAGCTGCAGCCTCAGCGGAACTTGTTGTATAAAAGATTGAGCTAGACTTTTAAATGGGATTAACCTAAATGTTTATAATACACATACTTACAAGCAAAATATATATATATACACAAATATATATATAGACCTAATACTAACTGAGATCGAACGCTGTAGATAAATGTGTACAAATGCTAAAAGATATTTACATGTTTTCAATGTATACTCTATAGAAAGAAATCGATTTATTGTTTTAAAGGTCTCGCCCTTGAGTTGAACCCAAATCATTTAACCCAATTATTAACTCTTGATTCACATATAGAAAACCTCTTGTAAGCCCAAATCAGACCAGATTATTTACACGAAACAACTACAAACAAAACTGTGCCACCTAGTACATAACAACAAACAGTTATATATCTGCAATATATAGAAAGGATACGACTTGTAATATACATATAGAAGAAGACGACAAAACTCAATGCTCACTTTTATATTTTTTATCATACATACTATATATACACACACACACACACATATATATATATATATATATACATAACTATATATCACAAGAAATCAAGGCACCGTTTTGCAACACTGAAGGAACTATAAAAGAAACTACATGAAAAACCAAAACAGAAATTATATGAATACCAAAAGAAATTAGTCTAGCAGTTGTAGAAATGGATTGCAATAGAAATTCTCAACCAGTTTAGGCAAAATCGAAGCTTTCTAGTTGCCAAGTGCTTCTGCTTCAAAGGGAATTATTATATTCCATAGAGACGGACAATTAATTAGTTCCATGCGAGACATAAATCTTAATAATTTTGATTGAGTTTCTTCCCATATATCATCTCACTCATGTATTAGGCGATAACGAGAACACCAGGCATAGACGCAAAAGATCGAGCTAAACGGCATAGTGCATATATCTATATATATACATATATACATATATACATATAGATAAATTATAGTCTTAAATGATATTTCAGTTGTGTATATTGTAAAGACAAGAACTATTGAGCAGAGCATAAAGTTAAACATTTAAAACCATTTATTGTGAATTAATAATATGTATATGTATTTATCAAAATTAAACAGCAAGTAAACGCATTAGCATAGCAATGGAAAAACAATTAACAAAGGAAAACAAAAACAAATGATAAATTATAAATTATATATATATACACATATATATATATATATATATATATATAAAGATATGAAAATGATTCAAGCGCTGATTTATTATTATATTATTAATTAAATTATTGCAAAACAAGAGTAAACAAATGATATTGTCCTTGGTATTTACATATACATAAAAAAAAAACAACAAAAAAAAAAACAAAAAATGAAAGAAAAATAAAAACAAAACGTTTTTTTATAAACCACAAACAGTTTCTTGCAGTGCATGCAAATAGCTTGAACAAGTTCATTTTCGATTCTAAACTGTTTTTAAACAAATGAACCGGTTAAACGGCCTGCTTAGCATAGTTAACCGCATTTTGTTTTGTTTTTGTTTTGATTTCAATTTCGATTTCGATTTCGAGTTGTGCCTTTAGTTTTATTCCGCAACGCGCTCAATACGTAACTAATCGCGCATCGAGCCATGCCGCAGGCCAATCTCAAGCTGAGCCCACATGACCAACAGGTATTGGAGTCCATATTCAATCCTCTGGAGCTAAGCGGCATGGGCGCCCCCAATGTTGCCATCCAAGCGGAGGCGGAGCTGGCGGACGAGGAGCCCGAATCGCAGCTGCTGCAAGCCTCTAGAGAACTGGAGCTGCAGGCAGTGCGATTGACAGAGAGCGGGCAATTGGAAGAGGCTCTACTGCGATTCGGTCAGGCCTTGAGCCTGATGGAGCGCGCCTCCGTCCTGAACAATCGAGCACAGGCGCTGCGATTGGCCAAGCGCGATCAAGGTGAGAGAAAAGCGTCCTAGCCAAGAGGCAAAAAGCAGACAAATGCAGAATTCTTCATATATACTAAGCTAACAGCAGGAATTTAAAGACGTTCTATCAATTGATAGCCCTTGGCCGGGCCATAGCTTTACATTGGAATTTCCTTGGCATAAAGTTAAAGTTTTATCCAAGTTTTTATTAAATTTATCCGAGACGCGAACCTAAGCATTACGCTCAATTTAAGCTCGAGCACTAGATGTCGCTTATCACATTTTGAATCCATTTAAGGTATAGATGTCGCTTTCGACTGATTTTAAATTTCATTTACACTGCTTGCGAATGTAGCTAAGCAGTATTGCTAAATGCGCTTTAATTTAAAAACATATCGATAACGATTATTATTTACGAACTTGGCTGTTAGGATAATATTAAAGTTAGCTCACGCAACTTTTGTCTGCCTCTTACACACCACAGAAGCGCTTGGGGATTTGAATCGTGCTCTGGAACTTGCAACTGAACGGCAGGCGCGCACCAAATGCCACGCCCACTGTCAGCGTGGTGTGTTATATAGAAAATTTGAGAATTTGGATGCAGCACGTGCCGATTTCGAGGCAGCTGCACTGCTTGGCAGTAAGTTTGCCCGGGAACAGGTGAGTGCCAAATTAATAGATCTTTGTTTATGCTAATGGTTTCTGGATAAACGGCAAATAAACGATGATATTTATTTACAGCTGGTGGAAATCAATCCCTTTGCGGCGCTCTGCAATCAAATGCTGCGACAAGCGTTCGATCAGCTGAAGTGAGGGCTTTGATTTGGCTAAAAGGCGGAGTGAAGGCTCGTTAAAATAAATAAAAATTAATTAAGTTCGAGACGCGTCATTTAATGTGATAAGCAACAGCAAGAGCAAAAGCGACCGGTGCCGCATTATGTGGCAAGCTGCAAAGTCTAGAAGCGAGCTCGCATAAAAAAGTGGCACGTGGAACGGAGTCGTGAGCACTCGGGGGCCAATATACGAGTTGAAGTAAAACAGCGGCAAAAACGAAAACAGTTATTAAATGCAGCAGGCCGGCTAGCGGCTTGTCAGATTGCAGCAGGCTGTGGCACTGGCTGCGACTGCGACTGCGACTGCGAATGTGGCTGCGGCTGTTGATCCGACTGTGAATCCACACACAGTGAAACCCGCTCCCCAGCACTGCGAGCTGTTGACGACCGCAAGCTAAATTAAAATAAACGAAAGTGGTTTGCGCAGGATAACGAGTGCTGCAGTCCGAGGGCAGGGGCGCGACAACGAGAGAGCGAGAGGTGGCACTGGGATTGAGCTCGGGCTTTTTGGGATTTGTGCGGTTTTCGTGGCACGAGATCCTGCGCGCTGCACACACATGTAAGCGCGCCAAGCTTAACAGTTAAGCGATGATGACGACGATTTGGCCGCCTGCTGCTGCTGTTGTTGTAAGCGGCCTTTGCTTTTTTTTCTCCTCTCTTCTGTTTTTTTTTCATGCGACCTGCAACGATTGCGGTCAAAAGACGCGCGCGTCCTGCTGCTGCTAGCGCAGAAGCAGGTGCAGCTAACATCAGCATAAAATACACACACACACACGCACACACACGCATACAAACGGGCATAAGGCAAATATACAAAACGAAGAGAAAAGATACAACTCGAATGCAAGTCAGGTGAGCTCAGCCGCAGTCGCAGTCGCAGCGACTAGTAGATGCGCGAGCAAGGCGTCCTTCTAGGCCAGGCACGAGGGTTGCCAGCGAACGACCCTCAGCAACCAATTTTTGATTGATCTCTTGCAGTTGGAGCATATAGCATATAGCATATATACTATATGCAATGCACTTTCCGAAGGAAGTCGTAGGTAGCTCGACAACAGCAGCGGCAGCAGCAGCGGCAGCAACAATGCCAGCTCCTGCGTATCCTGCGTCAGTTGTGCTGAAGCCGCACCAAAAACGAACGCCATATGTTGCACTTTGAGTCCAGGCAAGCCGTGCTAACGTTTGGGCTCCCCAGCGACAACAACAACGTCATTATCAGCAACATCATCATCGTGTTAATCATAAGGTTAGCTCCCAGTTTGTAGCGGAACTAAATGCCAATCTTGACCATGCCGGAACTGTAATTTGATCGAAAGAGCCAGCCAGAGACCGATAGACATTAGATAGCATCTCATAAGTTTTTCTTCCTGCCAAATTATCTCGCTCTGGCTCTGGCTGCGGCTCTGGCTGAGGCAGGCCTCGTCCTAGAGTGAGATTCTGCTGCCTTTGGGTTATTCACCCTCAGCTCTCGGCTCAACAGTTGCATTTGCGAGCTGCTTGTGCTCTGTGCCCTTTGCTTTGCCCTCTGCTGCTCATTTCTGCATTTATTGTTGTCGTTGTTGTTGCTGCTGTTGTTGCTGTTGCTGTTGGCATTGTGTACCTGGTCCGGGGCGCGTGCCTGCTGTCGTCGTTGAGGGCTCTGAGCCCTCAGCCCCGACTTCTAGCCGGGCTCTGAGCAACACATGACGCTGCTGCCCTTCTGCCTTGCTGCCTTTGTTGCGGCTGACTCGTCGACCTCTCGTCGCTGTGACCAGTTTTTCTCTGCTGTTTTTCGTTTTTTTTTTGTATAAGGATCTTTCGGGCCTGCTTATGCAAATATTTTGATCAGACCGAGAACAGTTCGAAGCATCAATGAATAATGCTTTAATTGACGAAAACGCCAAAAGCCATCGATGAGATGTGGTAGTGGCCAGGACCAAGCGTGTCTGGCAGTTGACTCCGACTACGAAAGGATATTATTGCCTGGCTTGGCAGGACTTTCAGCATTCACATATGCCATATGGCATATCTGTTGATTTGCTCTTTATTTTATTGATTCATTTTTTTTTAAGTTCAGCTTAGTTGAAATCTGTTCATACTTTAGGATAATCAGCAACTGTATTTTAAGCATTTAAGAAAATTGCAATAAGGTAGGTATATATAATTATATATGATTAATCGGTTATATTTTATTGGGAGGTTGCCCGCTTTTGCTGTATATTTCACATATTCACTTTTGTATTCGCCTGTTTCTTGGCTTGAATAGATTTTGTGTATGTTTCTCAATTCAATAATTTTATTTAAAATGCATTTAAATCAGCATTCAAAAGATATAATCACAATATTCAACATTTCAGTTGAGCCTTATAAGACGAAAGATTTCAAATAACTTCTACATATATACAACATATATATAGGTATATATATATATATATATTAAATATATAACATTTATAAATATATATATATATTATATATTGTAGTTGGTTCTGTTTTACTTGCAACTATAAGCAATATTTATTTCTATTCTCGAATCTTATATTTCTCATTACGTTTTTTTTTTTTTTTTTTTTTTTTTTTTTTGTGTTAAAATTCTTTTATTTAAGGCTAATCTCCTGTTACTATTGCTTAGCAACTTTTATCAGCGTGTGTTGATTAATGATAGCTTAAATTAAATATTTACATAGTGTGTGTTTATGTACATGTTATTTTGCTTCATTAAAGGCGGCGTTTGGCCAGGTCTATTGGATATGACTTTTTAAGCCTCCTTCTTCTTCGCCTCCTTAGCAGGTTCCTTGCCAGGACGTTAGGGTGGTTGCGGAGCTTAAATAGGTAGCTTGTTGCTTGATTGT